AATATATATATATATATATATATGTATATATATATATATATATGATGTGGAAATCCATTAAACTCATTGGAGTGTTATAGAGTATGGATATAAAATGATAGAGTTGTATGGTGAGTAGAATGCTGATGTGTAACTGTTATTATCACATAATCATTTGCCTCCTATGTCATTTGCTTTTATAATATTTGATTTTCATAGGTCAAACTTATTTTATTCTGACTCTTGGAAATAGGCACAGCCAACTTAAAAAGAATCATAGTTCTAGAATAGTTTGTTTTATATTGATAATAATACAGTTTTTAATATAAAATCTTTTATAAAAAAATATCTATAATAAAAAAATACATAGTTTTAAAATATATTTAATTAATAAAATTATAATTTTATCATTAATTATAGAAATATAAATTTTGTATGGATCTCAAAATTAAGATATAGAGTCATTTAGAGGGTGTTTGAGATTTTTTATTTGAAAACAACTTATACTTTTTTATAAAAACACTTACCAATTTATTGTAAATCAGAAGAGTTTAACTTCTACAAAAAAAATTTATTACCAGTTTGGTACCGATATAAGTTGTTTATCTAAACACTTAAAAATACTTACTACTGATATCAAACTGGAATAAGTCAATAATTTGTTTTTATAAATAATTTCAAACACTCATTATAAAAAAAATATTTAATCATTATTTAATTATTACTATTTTCTTATTATTAATTTAAACTTTTTAAATAAAAATTGATAAAAAAGGAAAGAAAAGTCAATTCAGGAATGAAGTAGGGTTGATGACCCATTCGAGACTGGATTCCTGACACGGTATTGAAATTGTCACCAGCATTTATGATACTACGTAATTTCATTTTCAACCCATTACTTAATATTATTACAATTAGGTCCCCTATAGTTTGCTTTTTTCAATTTTGTTTTTTGGCGTTCAAAAGAGTAACAACATAAGAGCCAAATCCAATATTATTCACTGACTAGACCTAAATTAATCAAGTTCAGATTAGGGGCGGTAAATGTCATCCCCGACTCAACTTTGTGTATGAAAATAAATCTCCATCCCCACCCCGAGGAATCCCCGCCCCATTATGGTCGGGTACCCGCCTCATTATGGTCGGGTACCCGCCCCAACGGGTAAAAAACTTCCATCTCTAGGTGTATCCGCTCCAACGAGGTTGGGGAATCTACGCAAAATCGGATACTGAGAATGGGGATCGGGATGGGGATCCCCGAAAATTTAAAATCGGGGATGGAACGGGGACGGATAGCGTAGTGCATCCCCGTATATTAAATATTTTTTATATGTTTATTATTAAATATATTATTTATAGAAAATTAGATTTAGTATCTTTTAGTTTAGAAATAGTGTTTTGACAATTCTTTTTATATACATTTTCTCTGAGTTGTCTTATTTTTTTTTTTTTTGGATAAAAAACGTTAAAAGTCTAAAACATTTGATCAAACAATTACGTATGTTGTTGTGATTTTGTTCACATGTGAATATTTGATGCTACATAAAAGAAAATTTTGAAAATATGTAAGATTTAAACATGTACCATTATCGATCAAGTGTGATGTTTAACACTTTTAATTTAAAATATCTCACATTAACGGAGAAAAAATCTCGATTCCCCATTGAGGACGGGGATAGAGATGTGACCATATTTCTCGATGGGAATGGGGACGGAGACAGAAGGGAGATTGGGGTCGGGGATGGGGCGCAAACATCCCCGCCCCATTACAATTCCTATACTCATCCAGATCTTAGTGTTATGATTAAATTGTTAAATTTTAGGTTGATAAAGATATCAACATAATTTGCATGAAGAGGTCTGTGTTATTTTTTACGATCATCCCAATTATTAATTATCTCTTTCCAAAAAAAAAAAACACATTATAACAATCATATGAGTTTAGGAAATACTACACAATACAATTGTGATCCTTTACAAGAACAGATGGGATTAACTACACAAGTAAACATGTTAAAAAAATTTAAGTACGTTTATTACCATGTCATCATTAAAACAATCATATGTGATTGTGTACATGATCATAATATTGGTATGTCATGTTATACACAATCACATGTGATTGTGTACAATATAACATGCTTGTTATGTGCATCAAATACATGATTTTATGTAATGTGCATGTGATCATATATATAAATATGACAAGTATCAAGAATCTTATCTGATAAGAGTGATGCAAGGCCCGAGAGTCTTACCCAGTAAGTGAGGGTAACGACTCTTATCACAGTTAACGCCTATCGGGTAAATTGTTGTATATATATAATGCCGTTTTTGTTGACTAAAATCTTACCCAGTAAGTAAATGGCAATGTTAAATTTTACTGGTAAATATTTACAGGATAAGTGTTTGTAAACGGTTCCTAATATTAAAAAAAAATACTATAACGGGTGGCTAGTGATTTTGGGGTCAAGATTCCAAGTTGACAATAACTTATAAGTCTATTAGACAAGGATAAAGATTTTTGTGTCAAAATTAAAAAAAGAAGAAAATTAGGTGTCAAAAATGCGAATGAAGTTAAAAGAGAGGAATCCAAATGAAAATATAAAACAAAAAGGGAGTCAAAGTAAGGGGAAAGAGGGGAGAAAGGATCCAGACAGCATTCTCCACACCATAAAACCCTCTGATTCCTTCCTCCTTTCCAAAGCAAATTGAACACCATCGGATCCCAACAAATTTCTCCCATATAATTCTCTTTCGGATCTGATCAGACCCTTCTTCTCCGGTGTTTTGGATTCAATCTCAGTTTATGATAATGGGGAAATACGTAGAGATACTGGATTTAGGGGTGAGAATGGTGGCTAGATTTCATTCCCACTGTCCTCAAACTGCTCGTATGTACTATCATCCTCCTTCAAACACCGTCGATAGCAGCTGTAGATCTCACGCGCCACCGGCAATCGAAGGATCGGCCAAAATGAGGCGGTTTCAGGCGAGCATGAGCTTCAATACTAGAGAAATTGTCTTTTCGTCGGCGATGTAAATGTGTAGGAAGGCGTAGATATTCATTGATTTATACACACTAAACATTTTTGATAAGATAGGAAATTCAGTTATTGATTAATACGAATTGAGGTTTTTGATAATATCCATAGAAATTGGCGAATATGAAATTGTTTAATTCTTATGAAGATTCAATTAGTTTGGTTGATATCTGCTCATACCGAATTGCTTATTTAGGCTGCGTTTGGTACAGGAGACGAGACATGATGGGCAAAACCCACTGTCCCATGTTTGGCTGCAGAATGGGACAGAACAAAAACTCATTATCCCTCTTTTGGCGTGACATGGGATATGTACAAGAATTGAGACAAGGTGGAACAGCATAAAACAAAAGAGGTTTTTTCTTGTTCCACCAAAATAGGTGGAACAAGATTGGACAAGATTGTGACAAAAACTAAAATATTACTAATCTACCCTAATATAATCTTAATATGATATTTGTTTTAATGGTCATCACCGCTAGTTTCGGCCGCCGCCACCACTACCGGCGGTCACCGACGGCCACCTCCACCTCCTCTTCCACTACAACATCTTCCACCGCCTCCACAACCACCGTTCACCAAGTCCATTGCCACCTCTACCATAGTCGACCACCGACCACCAACGTCCATTGCCACCACCACTACCGTCGTTCGCCACCTTCAACTCCTCCTCTACAGCAACAACCTCCTCCACGACCACCATCAGCCACCACCATTCTTTGCCACCTCATGTCCACCATAACTACCACCACCATTATCTTCACTACATCAACCACAACTACCATCTTCATGTCCTTTATAACTGCCACAACTACCACTGTTGTCAACCGCCATCGCCACCACAATCTATCATCTTCATGTCCTCTATAACCACCGTCGTCCACCAAGCACCACTGCCTCTACCTCCATAACCATTGTCGGCCATCGACCACCACCGTCCGTTGCCACTACTACCGTCGGCCACCACCACCTCCATCATAACCAAAACCACCTCCACCACCACTACCATCAATTATACCAAAAATTTCATTCAAAATTAGTACAAATATGAAAATTATGTATAAATATTTATTCTTTAATTATTTACTTTATTTGTGTTAATTATAACTGTTATATAATATTTAAAATAATCAAATAACTTTTGGGAGTAGCTTGTCTAGTTCTGTCCCGTCCAGTCCTAATCGTACCAAACACCATACATACTCCTGTTATGTTCAGTCCTGTCCCGTCCAGTCTTAATCGTACCAAACACCATACATACTCCTGTTATGTTCAGTCCTGTCCCGTCCAACCCTGTCCTTTTGTCATATCATGTCCAGTTCTGTCATGTCCAATTATGTATGCGTACCAAAAGCTACCTTAATACTGATTCATGAATCGAAGCTTATTTTACCTTCGTCGGTTCCCCCACCCCACCCACGTACCTTCATCCTCGATCTTTCTTTTTCTATTTATAAATATTTATAAATTTTTTAATTCCTTAGGGTACCCTATGCGTTTAAAGCATCCATCGCATTCCCATCTTTCGCACAAAAATCACAGTGTTCCACTTTATCATTTGTGGTCCTTTTTCCGTTTTTTGATATGGTTCTGCTTTGTTCGCCCATGTCCCCTCACGCCTCATGAAGGCTTGAAACGCAACGGTCTCGGTATTAGTCTTCTTTCCTACAGACACGACTCTTTGTTGTTCGTCTTCCGCAACTAGGTGGTAAGCCTCACCTAAGGTTGGGATAGGCTTCATTGCTAGAATCTGTGTTCTGATTATGGCGAAGTCGCTGTCAAGACTAAGAAGGAATTCATATAGTCTTTCCTAGTCCCTTAATTCCCGCTGTTTCTTGCTAATGCCACATCCACTACATGCACAAGAACACCATGGTATGGAGAACACTGAGCCTATTTCATCCCAGATTCCCCTTAATGTGGTGCAGTGGGCCGAAATCGAGGTCCCATCCTGCCTGGTTGTGCTGAGAAGTTTCTTTAATTCATATGTTTTAGTGTGCTCTCATTTTCGAATCGTTCACGCAGATCCTTCCAGATTTCTTCAGCAGTGTTAGCATACTTCACGCTAACCCTAATTTCCTTTTCCATGGTTGTAGTCAGCCATCCTTTAATCATAGCATCACAATGTAACCCTATTTTGTTTTTCACGAACAAAAAATTCTCCATCTCTTGAATCCAGTCGAGATAGTTGCTGTCGTTCAATGCATCATTCGCATGCATTTGCCTTGGGTAATCTGATGGATGAAGGTAATACGGTGAGTTATGGTCAGAAGTTTGGTCATTGGTTTTGGACCCTGAATTGTTTCTGCCATTGGCCATGATGGAACGATGATCGGTGATTTAGGGTTTTGTGGTTTTGGTCGAGTGGTACGTGACCCGCTCGGATACCATAATTTTTTTGAATATAGGCCTTTTCCACTTCTCTCATTATAAAGTACAGTAAGGGGATATATATACATATCCGGGATAGCTAAAAAGGGGCTAAGAAAAAGGAAACCAATCACAATAAAGAAACAATAGAAAAAGAATATATACGGGAATCATTCCCTTCCAATATGTATTGCCCTCTAATATAATAAGGTGCTAAAACGCATGACTATATATGCATAAAGTATTTAGGTTAAAATATGAGTGCCACATAACACCAAAGTTATGTGATATCTGGCCTCTAAAGAGCATCTTCAACAAATTTTCCAATTGAAATATCAAAGTCAAAATCTCAAAAAAAAAAAAAAAATATACATTTATCTGCAACAACTTCTCCATTGGGGATTACAATATTATTATATCAATAAAATATTTAATACAACTTATAGAATATTATCTCTCTTCTAAACATTTAATTTCAATGATTCTTATTGGTAGAAATAATAAACAAATCATTTATCTTTCTTAAACGATCATTTTTGAAGAGTTTGTGTTAGAGATGCTCTGAGSATATYGTTGTAACTATGTAGGTTTCTTAAGGACATTTACTTATAAAATATAGTGTATTTTCGGTTAGAAGCTTTAAGCGTTTTTGTGGTCATTTTTGTTGGTCGTGAGATTGAAAGTTTATCAATGACATAAGAAGATAAACGTTATATAGATCTTATCAAGACTAAGGGGCTGTTTGTTTCCCTCTTGATGGTGACATTAAGAGGGAGCCTCTTAATCGGTCAGAGGTTAGGACCATTTGGCAAAAAAAAAGCCTCTTAACGGTTACATATGGCTCTTAACCATTTTGAGGGTATTACTCCACTCAACCATTCAGGGGCTGTTTTTTTCCATCTTTGCCCTCTTCTCACGCATCCCCCTGATCGCTTCCATT